GCATGGGGGCAGGCAACATTATGAGCAGCCGCCAGTAGATAAGCGTCCCAGCTGCCATACCAATGGTGGCCAGTAGAGATGAAGGGGCACACCTCCTTCACACCAGGGCTGTGGTTTAACAGTGCAGGAGGATGTTGCCATTCATTGGAATGACACCTCAAACGCACCTGCTGCCCACATTACAATAAACCGGTACAGCAGTACCGTGCTTTGCGATTGAAAAAAGCATGTACCACTTTTTCCAAATCGTATTGAGGTGTGTTTGGGGTGCCATTCAAGCGAATAGCAACACACCTCCTGCACTGTTAACGCAAGGTAGGTGTGTTGTGTGGTACCATGCATTAACGCACGACCCTGGTGTGAATGGGCCCTCAATCACACAAATGTCATCAGTAGAAGTTCTAGGAATTGTCATTTAATACAATATTGTTGGGGGGGAATATTGCATCTTTATGAGGTCAGAAGCTGGTGGGAAGCTTTTTCATTGGTTTGATGTTCTTTTCACTGATGTATATTAGTTGGAATAGTTCATTCACTTGTTGTTATCAAATTGCCCAATGAAGGGACCCTGCATTCATTTTGTGATTTGATGACTGATAAATCTTTTTGATGAAGACACTATGGTGTGCTGATTAATTATCTTCTACACTGTATCTGTGCAGCACCATCCACAATTTACTACAGCACCCACAAGGGCCCAAAAAAATAGTAATAATAATACATCATCCATATCAGTGGTGGTCAACTTAAATAAAGAGGGCCTCAATTGTGGCCCCTATCATGCCCAGAGGGCTGCACTATAGCTTTGTATTTGTAAATTTGCTAATGCACCCTAAGGGGCGTGTCCTTGAAAGCGTGGGCCCGTAGGAAGTAGATTGGATGATTCTGGTAATTATTCAACCTGGAATACGAGTAGTGATTGACCTTGGAGAAGTCTGAGCGGGGCAAGTAGATGGCTGGGAGAAGAGCAGCTTTATAGGGGAAAGGAGGTTGCCGGGAGAGGAGCCGATATACGGGGAGAGGAGATGGCGAGGAAAGAAGTGGCTTGACAATGGTGAGAAAATGGCAAGGAGAGAAGCAGCACTCCGGAATTCACAAGCTGGCAGTTATGTTGACATTTATACAGAAGTGCTCACATCAGCTCCCATATAAGTTTTAACAATCTTGGCGACAGGTCTGCAATGAAATCTGGAGTACAACGGGCTGCACACTGACGGGCCGCATGTTGGATACTACTGATCTATTTTAAATGGTTACAGCCTTGAGCAGGCTTTACATTGTGTAGCTAATTGATATCACTCTGGATAGTAAATGATAGGGATGCAAAATAAAATGGCCATATCCAGAAAACTGCAATGTTATCATATGACTATTTCTAATGCACAATTCAGAAGTACAGCTTGGTTGACAGTTGTCTTTTTGTTACCTTAGAATCTCTAGATCATTTTAACAAACTCCCATAAACCAGTGTACAAATATGTTCCACAACACACACTAAGCAAGCTTCGGTAAAGTGTATTTAAAATCAAAAGTTTAATTAGTGTTTTTTCTTGTTCTGTCTGTGTAATATTGTGGAGATTTCCTCTACTTCTCATCACAGAGCTACAGTAGGAAGTATCTCTCAAAACCAAGGGGTCATATGCTCTTAGACAGTTGTGACCATAACAGGTTTCCCCATTGGAAGATGTCCTCTCACCTTCTGTTCCTGTGACAACTCAAAATTGTTTGATTTCATATCATTATATTTACAAAGAGGCAATGGTCACCAGGACAATTAGAGGGGGTAAAGTCCCTCAGTGGGGACAGGGGTAGCAAAAAATAAAAAGAGATAGACAAGGGCTTAAGCCTTTGCTACTCTATCCAAAACCATACAGTGGAAGGTTCAAATTGCCCAGACCCCTCACCATTTACAAATCACCAACTGCTAGCAGGTGTAAGATGTACCTGTGAAGAAAAAAAAAAGGTAAGATTTATAATTAACTTACCCTGTACTTCTGCATCACCGGCTGTGATGTCACCATCCTTCCATGAATATTCCTGGGGAATGCAGAGCAGCCAATCGTAAGAGCATCTTTTCACAATATTTTTGACGCTCTGTATTCCCCAGCATGTGGAGGATGTAGACGAATGGAGCGTGATCTCGGCCTCACCTAGGCACTGCGGACACAAACCAGGGGTGAGGCAAGTATAAACCCTAACTTTGTTCTTTACAGGTACATTTTACACCTACAAATAGTAGGTCATTTGAAAATGGGGAGAGGCCGGGAAAGTGTAAGGGGACCTTGCATTTTACTGTTAGGCCTGCTTTAAATAATTTCACTGAATTATACAGCTCCCCCAACTATGACACCACTCAGTATCTTTTGCTCTCGCACTCATTAGTTAGCATTGTTTTAAGCTCTGCCTGTGGACTACAGAACACCTACCTCTTATGTATTGAAGATAAGGAGATGGAAGGGATTTTCTGTAGTCCTAACACACTTCCTGTCCTTGGGATCCAAAGCTGCTCCTTCATAGATACATGAAAGTGAGTGAGCGTTGTCATCCGCAGGCAGGAAGTGCGATACTGGCAGGATCACCAGGTGAAAAAAAGCTGCAATTTATGACAACTTTTGTTTTTTTAGATACACATATGGCAAGTATTGAGGCTGACCGTTATTACTCTTCAAGTCAGCTTCTTCAGCTAATACCATGGCCCAACTGTCACATCATTTTCCTTAGGCTCCATTCACACTGGCTGTGTGTATTCGGCTGTACAGATACGCGAGGAGCCGCTCCAAACAGGAAAAACAATGCAATTCACTGTGCTCTGTTCAGACTACTGCGGAGACAGAGCGGTACGAAACCCTGCGGTCCCCAAAATAGTGCAAGCGCGATAATTCAGCGGATTCCGCACGTTCGTGGCTATATAATGGCCAAAAAACGAGTGGAATCCGTGCAGCTGTTTCACATATAGCGCTTGAGTCCTGCATGATCTTCCGTGCTAAAAATCGTGTGGGAAACGCATACGCTATATGTGAATGCAGCCTGAGGCAAAGCCTGTTCTGACCCACTGGGAAGTGGGCCATCTAACAATTCTGGGAATACTTAAAAATACAATTTGTAACAACAATATGCAAATTCTGAGAATCATTTTCTGCACTTCAATACAATACATTTCAGTATCCATATTACCTACATATAGTATATTTATAGTACATAATAATGTCCTTTGCAAGCAATCAAAACAACTTTTTTTTTTTTTTAATGCATTTAAACGAAAATCAAACATACTGAATGGCTGCAATATCCAACAGCAGATTAATTATTTTAACCCAGAATGCAGAACCTAAGACTTAGCATGCAAGAAGAAGTATGCATGACTGTGTCATCAGACATGAACTATGCTAATTGTATCATAAGACCGGGATGTAGTGTACCAAGTATGCTGCTTATAAATATAAACAATAGTCACTTTTACAATCCAAGTAAACTGAAGCTGTAATTGCACAATAGCTGTTAGCAGATAAGACAGCAAGAAAAGCACAGCATGGCATGGCATAGCATTTCCATTAATACTGGCTTTTAGTGTATGGAACAATTTGCCAATTTCTTCCAACGTTTTTTCTCCTTCTAAACCAGCTAGCTAAAACGTTTGCTGACACTCTGAATTCAGCTCTCCACCCACTGCTTCCATCCTAACCACAGGAAAGAAAAACTGAACACTGAAACAATCTCCCAGACAGACTGCCACATTTGCAGGAGTTCTGGATGAATGCCTGCAACATGCACAGTAAGACAGAGAAGCATGTCCTAACAAAGCAGCCTGCAAAATGTACAGTGCATGGTACAGTACACATGCTAGAATAATAAAAAAAAAAAGCCAAACAGTCCAAATGTAAACATACATATTATTGACTAAAGGCACTGCCGGAACCGCTGCTGTGTTTGCTTATGTAACCATGGTTGGAAATACACAAGGACAGCCAATCACGAGGCCTGTTACTTATATCGCTTGCCGGCAGCCAAACATTAATAGAAAAATAACATACATCAGTTTTGCTTTGTGATGGCTAAATTAGTTTAGCAGGCCTGCCAGTAGGAATTGCAGCTGCTACGTGTGTCACAAATTACTGTTATCCCTTCTGGCTTCATGGGAATCATATCCAATATCCAAAAATGGCATGTCTTACAATGTATGCTTGCACTCCAAGGTAACATAGTGAGGAAGATTTATGTAGCCTATAGCACTTTCTATTGAAGGTTACCAATAGGAGAAACTATTTTGGTTACTGTGGGTATTCCTTTACTCCAGTATCCAGCAATAAGCCCTAATGGTTTGAGAAACCTGTTGGCCTATAGCTTTTTGAACTACTTTTGAAGTTGCAATACGCCCTGCCAGCTGAAGCAACGTGGACTTGCATACTGAAGTGAAACAACATTGGGCTTGTGTACCTTATGCAGTGCAGAAACAGATTAGGGCTACCTGATGTTGCCCTGTTCTGAAAAACTACATGCACCAGCAGTGACTAGCACAATGGAACCAGTAGTCCCACAACAACTGGAAACCTGCAAGGGGCCCACATGCTATAGCTGTTATTACCCTGCAACAGGAGAAGGCTTTGTCCTGGCAGCTGATACCCATGTGAACATCCTAATGTTGCCCCTTTTGTGACAAAGGTGATGCAATTACATTTATCCATAAATAAGCTATAGGAGACATTCTTGCAAGGCAAGACAATATTTTTGGCTCGCAGCCCAAAATAACTGGGAAAATGTTTTAACTCCTGAGCCAAGTTCAGTACCAGATGCAGCTAATGTACAGCTTTTGTGGATGGG